GGAACTTTCCACAAGAAAATACATATCTGTTCATATCCCATTCCTAAAGTTATACAAAACATGGACTTAAAACGTACATCTTGATCCAGTTTTACCAAGAAAGTATTATTACAATCAGTGTTCGATTAACTGGATGAAACAACATTTTTTTTAACATAAAGGAAGCTCTTCATCAGGCTAGTATCAATCTGCATGAAAAAATAGGCCTTCTTCACACATAACCAGTCACAGTACCTATGGCATTATGAATAGCTTCATTGTAGTACTATTTAATCTTATCTCAAAAAGAAAGCAAAAATAAAATGACTAATAGTAGAAACACATCCTGTGAGGGAAGAAAAGTTATCTGGAAATATCTATATAAAACTGTACATTTTAAAAGTAAATAAAACAATTGAGAAAAACCAGACCAATTTACTTCTTTCAGCAAAGCTGCTAATTCCTCCTTCTTTCCTGCCAAGTCACATCCAGCTTCAGATTTCCTAGTGAACCAATCTATGAAGGCACCCCCAATCCACGCACCATCACACATACAGAAGTGCCCTTTCAATTTAATATTTTTATAATTGCAAAACACCTTAAAAATAGATAATTTGAAGAAAACTGTGCAATACTTTCAAAATCAAAATCCAAGACAAAAATTTGGGAAAGACTGGTTAGAGCTTCCAGGGAGCAAGGAAGGTGTTTACAGCCAACCCAGTGCACGAAGGAATGCTGTATTAGTGCTGAACAAGCCTTTGCAGATCTAAGTTAACAGTCTTTAAAATGTCTCTAGCGATTGCCTTTTAGAATAGGCATCGTCATAGAACAGACACTGAGCCAAACAGCCTTCACCTTCTCAAGCAATCTACAAGGGTTTGTCCCAAAATACATCCATCACTGTAGCCCTCAAAAAAGCTGAAATCTCAGAAAAGTTACTGGAAGCAGCTTGTTATGACTCTGTTTCTGCACACCAGGTAGAACAGGTTACTTTGTCTTTCCCAGTATTTCAGACCCTTTAAAGAGCTTATCCCAGCCTCTCGCTAATCAGTGCGGGTCCCTGTTGCCATCCAGCCACGCTTAGATGGTCATAACTGGACTCCTCTGTGCAAATATCCACACAGAGCAAACAGTGTTTTCAGTGGCTTGTCAAATTCCTCATTGAAATGGATAACTCAAGTATGTGATTTAACTTCTGGGGCCCTACAGGAGGTATTTGCTTTAAAAGAGCAAGCTATCCGGTCACCGAAAACTGAAAGAGCATTATATTAAGGTAGAATCAAACGTTCTTGTCACTCCTGAACACAGGCTATTTCTACAGATGTAAGGACCTCAGTGACCTCTAGATTTGAAAATGTAACAAGGTCATGCACAGACAGGCTCTTCCTGAATGCTGGCAATTATTTTGTAAAATTTTTTCTGAATGCATGTTAGCAAGTTTTTTGAGCATGTGCTTTCACAGCGGATAAAACATAAACATAACCTGAAAACAGGATCAGCTATTTCTAATTTTGTCAGATGTATCAGAAGGCCTTCGTCAACACTTACACAACTTTTTATCATTTCATAAAGCATACCAAACACTAGTTTCAATCTAACTAATATATTACCCAAGGTAGAACAGCTGACACACAGGTCAAGAACTAATAAGGACAAAAGCAGAAACTATTTACTTTGCAATTCAATAAAGAGATGTATTAACTGACTAATAATACCAGCTTTAGGTTGTGCCTTAAACAATTAACACATGCCCCAAAGTATCCTAATAAAATCATGACTTGGCCTCCTAACAATTTAAGGATGTTTAACATACATTTTAGAAAGTAATAGCACAAGGTATGATGAGTTAAATGTTTTTCTTCCTCTATCTTCTGTTCCTATGGCAGAAATTCAGAAAAGGCTTAGCTTCTTGATGGAACATAAAGCTGCATGTACAGCATCAGTCCTAACTGATGCTTCCAGAACAATCTGAGATCAGCTGCCTGGACATAAACACCAGCTCCTGTAAAAGCTTCATTTACATGATGAAAAAAAGTTATGCAGGTTCAAAGTAGGACATGACACATTGCCCAGGAACCTGTCGGCGATGTCACCTTAACTGGAAAAAGTCAGATGCACACTAGCATTGAGAATCTAATCAAGACTATGATAATGCTACTGATTTCACTCTCACTCACAGCTGCTTTACAAATACAAAGCTTCAAGGACACAAACTAGTGAAAGAGAAAGAAATTTTACATTTTTTCCTCTGCATGCAAAGATCCCTAACCTGAAAGCAGAAAACTCCACTCCATTAGTACTACTCAGGCTTTGGGTCCTCTTCTCTATAGGAGAAAGTGCCTCTCTGCAGCCCATTTCCATTAAGATTAATTACTGTCCCAGGCAAATAGATAACATTGTTCTTCCTGCTTCCCCATAAGACAATAAGGCTCTCAATAGCTGCTATGGAACTGACTACAGTTATTCACTTCAGTTGTATTGTGTCCCAGGAGAACTAGAGGTCCTAGGGCCAAACTGCCAGCAGACACAGAAGCAGAGGGCTGTCACCAATTCCAACACCACCTCCATTTGAAGCTTTATCACTATAGCCACGATACAGGCATAGAAACTTTTTTTTGTTGAATGCACATTGTTCTTCCAAATCCCAGTTTGCCCAGAAGGTAACTGGACAGTATCATGATGATTTTTTAGGCATTAGTACCATGCAACATATGAATGGCATCACCTGTTACACAGCCAACAGCACAAAAGGAATCAAGAAAATAGACTAGCAGAGACATGCAATGTTCCACTTCAACTCTGGCTGCTCCTTCTGTTCTTGGCACGTAGCCATAATTTCCTTTCTCCACGCCTGCTTTACATATCACTAAGAGGTTCTCTCCTTCATCTCTTCTTACTCCCAGATTGTTCCTCTTTGAAAAATGTGACACTAAATCTGAAACAAGTCTCAGTGTCTGTGACATGCAGCTGAGTGTAGGCACTTCAAGTCCACCTGTCCAAAACTAAATCCTATAGGAAAAGATTGCCAAGACTTTGTACCTGTATATTGGCCTTGCACCTGCAGAGGAACCCTTTTGTGGTCATACCTGCTGCTGACCTATGCCTACCCAATGCGGAAACTTAAAGATCTTTGCTTACATCCATCCTATAGCAACTAGCCTAAACAGCTTTACTTAGAGAGCACACCAGCAAGTGAGATGAAGGAGAGAGGCAAAGAGAGCTCACACCTTCTCTTTGTGTCCTACAGAGGCACAGAAACTCCAGGTAGCCCCTCTCTGCCTAGTTCCCTACAAACTTCTACCCTAGGATTCGAACAGTTTTCTGGCCTGTATCTCAGCTAAGCAGTGGCGTGTCTGAGGTGCAGAAGGGGTAGCAGAAGGCAGGTGCTAGTGTGCTTCCGGGTCTCACCCTGATTTGTGTTTGGGACACATCCAGGGTGTAGATCCAGTCTCAACATTGTGCTTAGCATTTCCATTTAGTCAAAGCCCTGCAAAGTCAAGCAACCCACCCTCTATGGATGCATGAAATTTATTCACGCTCCCCTTCTCATCAAGTTCACTACTTTGTGTGGAATTTTCTGAAATCAAGGAGGGTTATTCCATAAATGCCTATTATTTGTCTTTTCTTGTTAGCCATTCTCCCAGCATCAAAAACAGCGGCACAGTAATTAAATATTCCAATTACATTCAAACCCAACCAAAGCAACATAAATTTTTTTAAAGCAAAACAAGAATGAAGCAATGAGAAATTACAGTACCTCAGTTTTTAAGGAGAGTCCACTGTTAAAGAATATAGCTGAAACAGCAATGTAAGTTATGGTAATTTCTGGTTTCAAGGGTCCTAAAAAATATAGACATAAAGAAGAAAGTGAACTACAGTCAAAGACATAATGATATGCATATATTACATCAAAGTAAATGAAAATACTTAGAAAAATACCTGGAGAAAAATCTAATCATTAAAGTCTGTAACAAAAAGAATGGGGTTTCTATTAAGTTACAGAAAGCATGCTATTCATTTTTAAATAAAAGCAAACCACTGAGTGGAGAGTGAGGTACGGTGTCATACAAATTTGGCTTCCATGATTACAGGCCACTGGGAATTAACGGGTAAATTCTGGAAATTCAAAAACTGGGAATTCAGTACTCACCAGAGTATCCCTATAGCATCAGCAAACTCGAACCATACATTCAAATAAAAATATTAGTTGCTCCTTCCACAGGACCATCAATATCATTCACATATCTGCCTCTCACGTCTTACCCCACACCACACACAGCTGTCTGGCTGCCCACACAGAGGAAACCAAATCGTACTTTGCAATGATTTCCTTGGGGCCATACAATTCTGCACTATTCCCCCACAACAGGGCTGTGGCAAAACGGTTCATTCCAGCCCTACAATAACAGATTTCAGACACGCTGCTCAGCAAGATCAGCAAGGGCAGATGCCTGCACCTCCAAGGGTTCCACTACATTAAAGGCTTACATTTGTATATATTTATATACTTTCTTCAGGGAGATTAAAATAAAATACTTTTTACACTCCTATAAAAATGATGAATTCACTTAATACACTTTGCCTTCAGAGGCCACCAAGCGCAAAATGTATATACTCATTTTTTCACAAGCATTCAGCCAGTTATTATATTAGAAAGAAATTATTAGCAGTCTACTTAGGACCAAAGTAATATCCTAACTCTGCAAGTGACAATAAGCTGTCATGAGCAAAACTGCAGCAGCAAACAAGCAAGCCTTTACTCAACACTCCAGAAGAGAAGATCCTTTCTGCTCCCTCAGATGAATGATACATTGATGGTCACGCTGGAGCAAGGTCAATGATCCTTAAGTTAGAGGATCAAAGTACACTGAGTCTAATCAAATTTGCATCTCAAGTCATTTAAACCCAAGTCCTACTCTCAGAGAGGACTCTGTTGATGAGATACTAAAACTGTGTGTGTTTTAAATACAAAAAAAAATAAACCAAATTACCTATATGAAGCATAAGGCAAAAACAAGACAGGAAATGCAAGAGTTAAAGTCTCAACAATGTTCACAGCTAGTTGCAAAATTATGGCATGTTAACTGAATAACCACGAGTAGGGGAGAGGGCAGGGAACAGAAAAGTTATATAAATATATATAGTCATACATAGAACTATATTTATATATATATATAAAATTAAATAATTTTCCTAATCTTTCAGAAGATTAGAGCACATACGTACATGCACATACACACTGGGCAGACAGGCAGTGGGTTGTCAGTCGGGCTAAGACAGGAGTTCTTCCAGGATTCAGTTTCTCTATTTTAGGGTTTTTCACTGGGCTACCTCAACTCATTTACACAGAAGAAACAGCTACCACTAGAGCAACCACACGTTCATAGAGCACAGGGAACTCTAGTCAGAACAGATTCCCTTCATCTCTTGTGCAAAGACTGGTCAGGAAAGCTCTTTTCACAAAGGAAACAAATAGGCTCATTCATCAAAAAGGAAAACAAAAAGGGCTTGGCTTATGCCCCGAAGCTGGCAACAGGACAAACCTTTGTTACTTGTGGCACAACGTTCTGCCGGTATGGATGCTGGGCCATCCATATCATTCAGTAAGGCCTTTTGTCAGCTGGAAGATGACAAACATGTTTTTTCATATGCTGATATTTCCCACCCCTCACCTCTTTTTTTTTTTTTTCCTGGTTTTAAAACAAGCACTGAGATTGCATCGCTTCAGAAGAGGGATACCACTTTGGGGAACACATGCTCACGAGTTTCAATCAATGCTTACAAGATTTTTCAAGCCAGTTGTCCCAGGAACAATACCATGCCAAAGCTTGACATCTCTGCAGTAGGATAATGCAATTAAGTGCTCCATCATAGTGCTTCCACGTAGGAAGTAAGCTGAGGAAAAATTATCTCTTATTCTAGTTAAAAGGATCTCCCACATTGCTGCTAACAATTAGCATGAGAGTCAAACCAGAAAGGGCCAAACCACCTGATGCTATCAATTTAAAGTTGTCTTTAAGGTTTGCAGAAGACTCAGCATGGATCCTGCAAGGAGCTCCATGTGGGTCCTATTCACCTATGCAAAACAGCACACAGATGTTAGAAGGGATCCTTACACAGCAAGAATTTGCCTGCCCTGAACTCCATGAAGTACCGGAGCCTTAGTTGCCACAGCAAGTGTTCAGAGCCATATTTTTTTTAAATCACTTTCTTTTTCCCCAGAACCTAAGGGAGTGGGGGGGGTGCGTGAAGGTTGGCTCCTCAGTGAGAAACTGTCTATCCTCAACATTCAGCTCTGTTAAGAAAAAAAAAAAAAAACCAACAACACACCAAAAAAACTCAAGCAAAACTACACATATAAAAGCGCAGCTAGATTCTTCCTCCCTTCCCATAACATGGAATTGCTAAAGGAATTCCATTCAAGTATTCTACACCCCTCTTCTTAAACCTTCAGAGATCAATCAGAAAAAAAAATACAAAATTCAGTTTGTTCTTGAAAATTGTGAACATCTGGAACTGAAAGTAAACAGAAGATGTTGCCAGTATTGATACTTAAAGACACACTGTTTATTTAAAAATAACACTGGATATTTCATCAGCTCTTGTTACAAGAATCATACAAGAGCTCACTGCTTAGAAAAGGACAGATCTTTCTTCCGATTTGTTTACTGTGAGCATTTGACAACATTTTGCACTGAATCCTTTTCACCGTTTTCCCTCATCTTTCATGAGGAAGTAAGAGGGAACGATAATAATAATAAAATACAAGTGTGTTATAAAGTAGAAAAATCATCTGGCTGAGATACAGCACCTGAGCTTTTAACACAATATACATTAAGCTACACCTCTCGAGAAGTTCACAAGCGGCAGAGACTCACACACCAAACTGCACTGACTTTATGCCCATCCTAGAGTCCTTGAAGTTACTACTTAGTTTAACAGGAGCACATTCAAAGTAAGTCGCTATCCATTTTTCATGACTACGAATCCACACAGAGGAGATTATTATTGAAGCAACTGGTACAGTGCCCAGCAAAGACACACACGGGAATATACCTCGAAATATTTCTTGGGTACCTGAGAAGCAGTGACCGACTAACCAGCAGCGGAGGCGAGCAGCCAGAGGTGCCCGGCAGTGCCCTACACCCCGCAGCTTGCCCTCCTGCACCCCCGGGAAACTCGAGTTTCAAAGTTTCCGAGCGGGTGCCTCGACGGCCGAGAGG